GCGTGAAACTTCTTTCTTGGAGGGATCCAAGACTCAGCTACATGCAAGCTCTGATTTTCTATTTTCCTAGTCTAAATTTTCCATTTTATGAATACTGGATTTTTGGAATACTGGTTTTTCTTTCTAAGTCGATAATGCATGTCAATTTTAATTTCAGAATTTATTTTCCATTTGCTATTAATATGAATTTCTAAGTTTCTTGTTCTGGGTATGTCAAAATGATTGGATGAATTTTTGGTGTGCATTGTTACTGTTTGTTTTATTTCATTCGTTTGATACTTTCTTTTTTTAACTCAAGAACACCATGGGAATGAGACTTGAGTTTTTCAACAAAAAGAAATTGGGAAATGGATTTTTGTTAAGTGTTAAATGAACCTTTTTGGATTAGGGATAATCAAAGGTGATTTCTGATATAAATTTGTGTAAAGATTCAAGAAACTTTGGGAAAAGTCCTTCTTGAACCTTATTGTTGATTCTGAAATGTTTCAACTAAACTTGTCGTAGCAACTCAAAAACTGAAATAAAGCTGCTGTAGCACTGTACGAATTTGCAATAATGCAAATAACTTTTGTCATCCATGATTTGAGAAAAACCCAGAAGTCTTTTAATATTGATAATCATTTCCTTACTTTTTAGATCAGATTTTAATACTTGATAAAGACTAAAAATTTCTTGTTCTAAAACCAATTAAGTTCCAATTTCAGAATCTTTAACTCAGAAAAATACAAAGAAAATATTTCAACCTGTTCCTGAGAACGATACCTCTTTCTTTTGAAAATTACTACCTAACAGAGCACATGACACTTCCAAGCCTAAATTACAGGTCCTTTGGGAAGCAAGAACTCTACACCACTGTCAAGCTTCCTCGCTGCTGATATGGTATCAAGACCGAAAAAACCAAGCTTGACCGTCTCCACCGACAGCCCCTCTTCATTGTGACCCACGAAGCCTTCATTCACACTAAGACTTGGATGTGTCATCAGTCCTAAGAACCACTTGGTTCCTCACCGGCAGCTGCACCCATACTGCTGAGCAAGGAAGTCAGGTTTTATTTTATATTTCTTTTCTTTTCTTTTCTTTTTTCAAAAAAAAAAATTATATAGCTTGATTGTGCTTTGGACTTCACTTGTAATGAAAATATTGTAAACCATCTCTGGGTCTCCACTGACAGTCTCACTCATACTCTTCTTTTTATTGCTATGAATTTCCTCCTGTTGGCTGATATGCATATTGAGTCTTAGTGCTTATGGTAGTTCTTCTCTGTTTGTTTGGCTGACCACCATTTGATAATCCCTGGTTGAATTCAAGAAAATGGATAGTTTATGGTTGAAATGACCAAAATAGTTTCATAATTTTACTGGGTATTGGTTGGTTGTGTCGTGGTTGTATAATTTTGGATGGGTATGTAGTCTGAAGTGTGTATAATTTATGGCTTAGCTAGCTGAATATTGTAATTATTATCTTAGTTGTGGACTGTTACTTGAATTTGTGATTTATTTTTGCTATTCTCTATTGCCAACTAAAACACAACTGAGTGTGCTCTGTCGTTGCACGTTTTCCTATCACTTTGACACTTACCTGCTACACTCTTTGGGTTCTTTTTCCTTATTCACATATAATCTTCATTTCACTAATTATCTGGTTATCTCTTTAAGTTGCAGCTATGGCTCCAAAGACAGGTAGACATGTGAAACACATCAGCCACAAACATTTAGGAGCACCATATTAATGGTCTCCCAGGTTTTATCTTTTCTACATCTGTCTATAGTTGTTTATCCTCCCCAACATGTATATTATTGTCTTAAATGTTGTGTTCTCTATTGTTAAAAATGATTACTGCCAATTGTTGTGAGGACACAACTGCCTTTTAAGTTTGAGGTGGGGTATACAGGGTATACAAGTTGAATTAATTGGTTTGCTGAGTTTGAAAAAAAGAAAAAGAAAATTGAATTTTTTTGAACTTGAACAGTAACAATTCTTTGATTTATCTATACATGTGAGCCATTATCATTAACTCAACTGTGTTGATCTTACATATCTTATTAACTCTATGTCTATTTCATTCTAAGTTGGTTAATTAGCCATGCATCATCTATGTTACACTTCATGAGAGCAGTCCTAACATGTCTCAACTTAGTTCATGTTATATCACTGAATAAAAACCTTGGTGAGAATTTGGACTCAAACACATATACTTTCTTGTTGAGTGATCACTCTACATTGGGATCCTTAACCTACATCACACCTAGGCGATTAGTGTGTTTATATTCATATGATAAGGGCACTTGTTTCAAATTGTTTAGCCTAGAACCAAAAAGCTCTACCTGTTTCATTAATTTTAATCCCTTGATCCCTTATTTGAGCCTGAGCCTGAACCTTTTCTTTTCTATTTACATAACCATGATTTCAAAAGCCAATTTCCTCAATCCATCCTTTTAGGCAAGCCTTAGTCTTTGGTTAATTCTCACTAGGCTGCAATGCAAGAAAATAAGTAAGGAAAAGGGAAGCTAGCTTGAAGAGAGTGGTTATCAAAAGAAGAAAAATATAGAAGGTGATCAAGAAGAGATTAGAAGAAAAGAAAAAAAAAAGAGGATATAAAAAGGGGAAAAAGAACACAGAAAGAAAAATAAAAAATCCCCTGAGTAAAAAAAATATTTTTTAGAAGAAAAGAAAAAAAAAAAGGAAAGTGAATGTGAAAAGTTGAGGCTGGAAATAAAAAAAAAAAGTGGGGAAGGAAGTTAAAAAGAGAGAGAGAGAGAGCAAGCAGCTTCCCTTTAACTTACTAAGACCATATTTTACAAGCTAGTTGTGGATTAGGTAGATACTTAAGGTTAGCCTAAATTAGCCAAGTGTTCAGAAAAACAAATATCCAAACCCAGCCCTATTACAAGCCTAAAAGCCCCTTTGATGGAAATGCCACATTAGACATCAAGTGTCTAGGCAATATTGTATGTTAGGTACATCAATGTAAAGTTGATGATGAGTGATTATCCTTAAAAAAAAAAGAGGGATGAATAATAAAATTGCCTTGTGAGGAACTCAGTGCATGACATTGACTGATATGAGTTATGTCTAGTGACTGCTTGATATGCATTGTGACATAGTGTGTTGTTCGTTTAATTAAAAATTTAGTTTGGACTAGATTTTTGGTTGGTATTGATACTAAAAGACAATTTAGTTGATTGATGTTATAGTTGACATTTACTGTGATAAATGGAGAATTGGACTGCAAAAAACCATTTCATTGCTTGAATGATGAGCTGAATGCTGAAAGAAAGACAATAGCTAACAATGTGCTTAATGAGTTAATAGTTGCTTGTTTGCTTGAGGACAAGCAAATTCTAAGTTTGGGGTATTTTGTTAGGTGTAAAATTGGATTGTTTAAACACCTATATTTACCTATATTTTACTTCCTATTGGACTGTGAAAGAATTAATAAAACAGGTGAAAGGTCCAAAAGGTAGAGAAATCAGCCCATGAAGGTAAAAGTAAAAAAAAATGAGATTTAGATAAATCGACTTACTGTTTTTACCACTAAATTGCAGGAATTAAGAGCATGTGAACTGTTGAGTTATAAACTCCACATTGGTTGTATGTGCATATCCCAAGGTTCTTTACATGGTATCAGAGTCTCGCCGCCCCCCACTTTCTCTCGTGAACTTTCTTAGCACAGGTAGGATGAGCTTGTTGCATCTTCCACTCTTCAAGCCCAATGGCTCTCGTGTGAGGGGGCGTGTTGAGATATAGAGTCCCACATTGGTTGTATGTGCAACTAATGTGGAGTTTATAAGGTCTTGGGCATTCCCACCCTTTGAGCTAGCTTTTGGGGTGGTGTATCCCAAGGTTCTTTACATAAACAATTGGTTGAGTTGAAAGAGATCTAAACCGTAGGATGCTGATTAGTCTGAAGGACAACAATGCATTTTGGGGAACTCTTTAGTTTTTATTTAAATAAGAGTCTGAGTCATTAGGACCTTTCAGAGAGAACTTTTGTTGTTTTTTAGTTTTCAGACTTTACTTTTAGATTCTTGAACTTTTCTTAAGCTTTCTTCTGTTCTTCTGAGTTCTAGTAACAAGAGCAAGCGTGAAACTTCTTTCTTGGAGGGATCCAAGACTCAGCTACATGCAAGCTCTGGTTTTGTATTTTCCTAGTCTAAATTTTCCATTTTCTGAATACTGGATTTTTGGAATACTGGTTTTTCTTTCTAAGTCGATAATGCATGTCAATTTTAATTTCAGAATTTATTTTCCATTTGCTATTAATATGAATTTCTAAGTTTCTTGTTCTGGGTATGTCAAAATGATTGGATGAATTTTTGGTGTGCATTGTTACTGTTTGTTTTATTTCATTCGTTTGATACTTTCTTTTTTTAACTCAAGAACACCATGGGAATGAGACTTGAGTTTTTCAACAAAAAGAAATTGGGAAATGGATTTTTGTTAAGTGTTAAATGAACCTTTTTGGATTAGGGATAATCAAAGGTGATTTCTGATATAAATTTGTGTAAAGATTCAAGAAACTTTGGAAAAAGTCCTTCTTGAACCTTATTGTTGATTCTGAAATGTTTCAACTAAACTTGTCGTAGCAACTCAAAAACTGAAATAAAGCTGCTGTAGCACTGTACGAATTTGCAATAATGCAAATAACTTTTGTCATCCATGATTTGAGAAAAACCCAGAAGTCTTTTAATATTGATAATCATTTCCTTACTTTTTAGATCAGATTTTAATACTTGATAAAGACTAAAAATTTCTTGTTCTAAAACCAATTAAGTTCCAATTTCAGAATCTTTAATTCAGAAAAATACAAAGAAAATATTTCAACCTGTTCCTGAGAACGATAACTCTTTCTTTTGAAAATTACTACCCAACAGAGCACATGACACTTCCAAGCCTAAATTACAGGTCCTTTGGGAAGCAAGTACCATAAACTTAACAATGTTATTGATCACTTGGATTTAGAATACAATTTCAACTAACAACATATGGAAGTTGATTAATTAAATTGGACCATGTCCTGGGTGAAGAGTGAGATGGCCTTGCTCCCCAAGCGATACAATGCAATCATCGAACATTTCTTCAATAGACTTGAACCTGAATCCTAGACTCCTTAGCTTCCCGGTGTTTAGTTCGTAACGTGGTCTATCTAGCTTCTCGAACCTGAAAATCGAATAAACCATACTAAGCTACATTTACATATACACATTATTATTTTCTATAGCTACATTTACATTTACATATACACATTATACACATATTCTGTATATGATATACATAATTTAAATTAAATAATACACGATTAATTTAAACTATAGAGAACTCCTATAAAGTATACTAACACTTAATTTTAACACTAATGATTAAAACTAACCCGTGTTTAATTATAATTAAGGATAGAGTGCAATGGCAAGCAATAACCAACCTTTTGGGAATGGGCAGGCCAGGATAACGGGCTGCTAGCAAGGCAACCAAATCGTTATTATCCATTACTGTAGAGCTGCAAAGGTATCGACCTTGGGAAGTTTCATCCTTGTAAAGAAGGATGTGACTAAGGGCAACATCATCAATATGAACGTATCCCATTCTTCCATGCCATTGGAATTTCTCGGTTTCCCCTGTTAATTAGGATAACCATTATGTCTCTCTATCTATCAAAGAAAATTTACCAACCTAAGGGGCCAAGTCTCTGTACCTTTGAGCAAGCCTAGAACATCAGATGCAGTAGAACACAAATCTGGTGGCAAGCTGGGTCCAATAATAAATGATGGCAGAACAGTCACCAAATGTATTCCATTCTCTTTGCAGTATTCCCACGCTGCTCTTTCTGCCTGTGTCTTCGACATCACGTACCATGCCTTCATTACATTACATGCTAGAACTTAGAATCATGTTTTCTTATGAAATGTGACCATATAACAACTACATGTACATAAAAATTTGGCTGTTGTTGATCGTGCCCATATATATCATATGTTATTTATGTAATATACTAGTGTAAGTTACGTTCTTTCTTACTTGAATTTAATAGTTCCATGTGACTAATAAATTGAAGCCGTTGTATACAAGTAGATAAAAAATATAAAATTGGTAGAAAATCATCATATTCCATTATACATTATATGATTACTTAAGCATTACCTACCTGGAGTTTCTCGCACAACTCCAAGGAGCTCCAGGATGACTCATCCAGTGGTATGTTTGGATCAAAATCATCTCTTACCCTAACAGCTGAAGACGATGAGGTTAAAACCACTCGACCAAGTTCCGTGTTCTTCCGACAAGAACGAAGCACATTCAGCGTACCTTGGACGGCAGGTTCCAAGATTTCTGACTGTTTATGGATAAAATTGATAACCAAATTAAAAATACATAAAAAGTCACGACTTATTTTCACTAGCATATATCACCACTTACCATGGTGTGAGAAAGTAGTGATGTGACACGTTTGAATAATTTGAAATGTTGTATATAATTAAGTTGTAACGTAGAGAAACCTATGCTATATATATAACATGTCCCATAAAAACAGAGAAACAGTAACGACATATATATTATACCTTGGGATCTGATGAAGGTTTGAGTACAGGAGATGCGATGTGAAAGACACCTTTGCATCCCATGATTGCATTGTCGAAGCTGCTTTCTTCCATTAAATCAGCTTCTACTAGTTCGAGTCTGTCTTTTGCTCCTTCCAGCTTCCATAAATGTTCAAATTTCTTCTGCTTCCCTGTATGTACCAGTACCAAACATATGCTAGCTACTATGTTGAGTATGTGAAAAATGAAAATATATTTGGACATAATAATAATAAAGATGTCTAAACTCATTTGCATTGGCCATGCATCTGAAGGTTTAAGGTCTCATTAATTAAATATCAAACTTATTTAGTAACAATCTAGGGATAATTAATCAAGGGGTTTGTTAGGAATTGTGATTTAAGTGTAAGTAGTTAATGATAGGTATATTATTAGTTAAATAAGTTTGATATATATATATATATATATATATATATATATATATATAGTTAATGGAGATGATATGTGTGTGTGCATAGAGATGCAAAGGGGAGAGAGAGAAACCTAAGTCTCTAACTGTTCCAATGACATGATAACCAGACAAAAGAAGTCGCTTAATAAGCCAAGAAGCGAGAAAGCCTGAAGCCCCCGTCACACATACTCTGCCTCTGCCTTCGTGTTCCATATCACACCCAATAAACAAGGCACGGGCCATGGCTCTTTTATACGTGAAAAAAAATGTCTATATAATATAAATTTCATGCTTGCATGTGGCTTCCTCACTCCTCACAAGTATAAGATGACCAAGCTAACTTCAGTTCTGTGGTGAACTAAGCATGATATACCTAACTTTCTCTCTCCTTTTGATGTTACGTTGATTTGCCTTTCTTTGTTGGTACTTAAATAATAAATAAATAAATGTACGACGGCGTATGACTCAACAAGCGCCCATGGCCTAATGGATAAGGCGCCTGACTTCTAATCAGGCGATTGTGGGTTCGAGTCCCACTGGGCGTGAAGTTTTTACAATTTTAAATTAAAATATTACTTTGTCAAACAAAATATATTTCATTATCAAATTTAAGAAATTAATTAATAATTTTACATATAAAAGTTACAAAATTAAATTAAATATTATGTATTTAATAAGTGGGGGGAAAAATATCCGTCTTAGCATTATTGTTGATTTTCTAATATTGTTTGAGAATTCTGACCCAACTAGAATAATTGTGTTAGAAAAAATTGTGTTCTTCCCATAGTTATATACCTGAAAGATTAGGGAACCCTTTTTCCCATCCATGTTTAAGGAACCAGTCCACTTCTGTTATTCTGCGATTAATTGACACTTTTATTCCCGAATGAGTGAATATATTTTCACACACAATTGCAGTGTGATTTAAAAGAGTGTTATAAGTGTAACAAAAAAAAAAAAAACAGTGTTATAAAGGTTTATACTTTATAGGACTCATAATCTCCCTAAGAACCAGTTGGCACGCACTCTTCTGGAGGACTTATTAACAAAAGCTTAATGAGTTTGAGATAGATTCAATAATATTGGATCGATCTATCTCTAACTCATTAATCAACTCCAATTGCTTCATGAAAGCAAAAGCTTTCTAGAATAATTGCCAACTTATTAACAATTTAGATGGTGGGACAATAAGTCGTCCCTTGATGCTTGCTTGCTAGAAAAAAAGCGACAAATATTTTCAACATAATGTGACTTGCCAAGTTGGACACTTACCCCTCCTTGAAGAAAAACGTGCATCAAGTTATGGATTTTACTGATCATGATTGTCGCTTTTACTGTTTTGAATCTCGTAATTTTGTTCTATGCTTTCCATGATTTCTATCCGTCATTCAGACATGTTTTTTTAGGGGGCAAAATTATATTTATTTTAAAATTCATAATTAAAATAAAAAATTTGTATAATTAAATAAAAATATTTACAATATATAATTCACACTACATAAATCATAAAACAATATAATATAAATATAAATACCCAAATCAATTTAATTGACTACAAAATAAACATAATGATATTAATATTTAGATAAACATCAAATATATTTACTAAAGATCAAAAAATAAATTAAATTTTATCATGTTTAAATTTATGTTGTATCTAATTTTAAATACTAATTCATTTTATTTATTTATTTATTATATATTGACATTTAGATAGACATCGAATCTATTTGAGAATGTCAAGAAAACAAAACCAATTTAATCATATTTAAATCTTTTTTTTAAATCGTAATTTAATTATTTTTATCTTATTTATTTAGTTATTATATATTGATATTATGATAGACATCAAATATATTCGAGATTGACTAGAAAATCTAACCAACTTTATTATGTTTAAATCTAGGGAAATACTTTTGTTTCTATTTTTGAATTTTTTTTTTTGAGAAATATTTTTCTTATGATACATAAGAGAAGTATTATCTCATACTCGAACGATAAATAGGAAAGCGAAAAGAGTTGGAGGTGAGAGAAATTTTTTTTTGTAGGACCTATTTAAAAAATATAAATGTAGGAGATAATACTTTTATTATCCAACATAAAAAAAGTATTACCCAATAATTAATGGGGCAATTTAATCTCCTCCAACAAGGAGATATTTTGTCTTTTGTTTTAGAACAACATGGTGAGACCTATTCATTATATTTCTGAGTTAAGTTATCTGCAGTAAGTCTAATACGACGTTGTTTTGAGGCAGAAATCATGATATTTTTGTAATTTTAATTTATTTTAAGGTTATTATAGTCTTTATAATTTTTTAATATTTCAATCCCAAAACGACGTCATTTTGAGAGTAAATATAAATAACTTATCTGTAGTAACTGCAAAAATATTTTTTTTTTCTCTCTCTCTATATATATATATATATATATATATATATATATATATATAAAGAAAAAAACAACAATAGGAGAGTTGTATTTCCTCTAATTAATTAATAGTAAGTGAAACAATAAATGATTTTAGGAAAAAACTATTCTCATGATACATGAGATAAGTTTTTCCTCCTATACACCCTTTGATAATTGTGCCACCTTTTTCTTTTCTTTTCTTTTTATTTTTTAGACGGTGGAGTCCACAAATTTTTCTATATGACTTGAGATAATCAACCTAAAACCTTAAGGCGATATGTCTTTTTAATACTTTATATTTCATTCTCTAACACACACTCCTTACGCAAGAGCCCAACTTGAAGCGTGGATATGACATAAGTCCAATTTTTTTGTCTGCATTGTGCTTTTCTTAATTCCACCTAAAAGTAGGGGACGGTAATGATCGAATTCGCGACATTATTAACCCTTAATTATTTATGAAAATAAAAACTATAATGACTGCTAACAAACAAGCTTTAGTGAAAACAGCAGCATAGCTCGCCAAAGCACTGCAGAGCATGAAGTTGGGTGGCTCACGAAGCTTTCAAAGGTACTGCGTGAGAAAACAAGCTTTTGCTGAATGATCACCTACAAAATTTGGATTCTTAGCAATAGCCTTGTTCCCGTTATCATATTTTTGCAGTACAAATTGCATGCTAACTATTGCTGAGTATAGGCTGTGTCTCTGGTTTTAAATTAATTGATATTTGCAGTCACTTCATTTTCAATAGCATAACGACTGCAATGTCCTGTTAAATAAAATATTCTATATAGATTGTGATCTAGAAAGTAATGGTAGTTTTGTCAAGTAGTGGGTACTCGTAATGATTGTTATGTCATTGTACTACTTTCTTTGTGCTATACGTTGAACTTTATTGGTTATTTTTCTTATTTAAGTTTTCCAAATATTAATTTAGAAGAACAAAATAAGTTTTTTTTTTGCATTAATTAAAATATAAAAAGACATATACGTCCACACCAACACGGAAAAAAAGAAGAAGGGAGAAATATGGCATGCATTCTTGAATTGATTTCAATGAAGCTAGCCCCTATCAATATAAATAAGAGAGTAGTATTAGAACCATTTGATAGATCAAACAAATGTTCGCATGTGATCATTTTCTGAACAGGTGTAGTAAATGTATTTGTCATTTGATAAGTGATATTTGGATAAAAAAAAATTCTTTCTTCTTTGTATAAGCATTATACAAATTTTTAATATCCTTCAGAATCACCATGATTCTTCCCCTAAACAATTGACACATGGATAAATTTTTTATTTTTCTCTCTCCTTTCTTCTTTATTCTCAACTTTTTTCTCTTTCTCTCACTTCCATCAAAAAAATTTTTGCATCGGAACCATAGAAATATGCTGAAGCATTATAGTTATTTCTTAATTTTTATGTGCTAGTCGCACCAAATGAATGATATGACTTAAATATTTCCGTTTTAGAAAGCCTATGAACTGTAGATGCCAATTATGAATTTCTTTAGTTATCAATATCTGCCGTTACTTAATCGTCAACCACACACAAATATAGTGTCTCCTCGTATAATTTAGAATCAAATGATTTTCTTTGAATGGTGAGTTCTACCGTACTACCAATAATTGTGATGTCTTTTTTTTTTTTGAACTTGGCATAATTGTGATGTCTATGTGCAAAGTTTTTCACCCTTTTCAGGGAATTTTTTTTAATATTATGGGAGTATCAAACTATAGATATTCTTTTTTACTAAAAAGGAAAATTTCTTTCCATTTTAATTCATATTTTTTTTTATAATTTTTTTTAAATCCTAAAATCTTCCCTATTTTAATATAAATATATGAGACATAATCCTTTGACACCAGTGTCAAATTTCAAATTTGACACCTCATCTGATAGCTGTTAGATCAAAAAAGATCAATGGTGTCACATGCTTGCCAATCAGAGTCGTTGATCTTTTTTTATCTAACAACTCTCACATAGGGTGTCAAATTTAAAATTTGACACTGGTATCAAATGATTCTACCTCTAAATATATTTACAACAGCAGCAGTAGCTGCAGTACCGAAGGTTTTTTCAAGCATCGTGGAAGAAACGGCAACACTAATTTCAGTGCGTTACATCGGTTTCTGTCCTCTTGCTTTTCGGATTTCTCAGCTCTTTTTTCCCGCAGAAAAAAATAAAAAATAAAATCGAAAAAAAAAGTGAGTGGTCGATAGAAATCATAATTTTTTTTATTAATGTATACTTTTAATGTAAATATTAAGGAATTAATAAAAGTTTTAATTATTTTAAAATACTAAATTTTTTATAAATAGGATTAAATTACAATGGTTTTACACTCACCATTAACTATTAATATTATTTGTATCTAACAATTCTAATTTATTAATCACATTAACTGTTAAATACAAGTAAAACATCGGCTAATAACGAACAATGAGTGAATTATAAAACTTAGGTCTCCCCTAATTTTTATTTAACAATTTTTATTTTTATTTTTATTTTTTTGAAATATGCTATGTTAATAAAAACTCATAACGGTTCATTGAAGTTGAGTAGAAGGACTCGTCTTGGAATCTAATTCCACCAAATACTCATTTTGCTTTCGTATTTCGAGGCAATATAATTACACAGTTACACTTTTGTTTCCCCCATTATTGTACACCAAGCAATTCTTTTTTTTTTTTTTTCTGAATAGAGTAATGGTTATTTCGTTTTCGTTATCATGTGGGATTTTTTATTTTTTATTGTAAATATAAGACTAACATGTGTTTAGTGTAAATCCTCCACTTGCAGAATCA